GTCCAGGACGCGTGCGACGCGCACGTCTTCCTCATGGAGGCGCCGCACGCCGAGGGGCGGTACCTGTGCGCCGCGGGCGGGTACGCGGCGGCGCACCTCGCGCGGCTCCTCGCCTCGCGCTACCCTCCGTTCAGGCCTGGCGACAGGCTGAGCAGAGACTTCGACGACGCCTCGTGCTCGCCGGTGGTTTCGTCCAGGAGGCTGCAGGATCTCGGGTTCAGGTTCCGGCATGGCGTCGAGGACGTGGTGAAGGACAGTGTCGCGCAGTGCCTTGCCCATTGGTTTCTGGAGCATCCTGAGACCTGAATGGGACAGAGGCACAGAGCTCCTTGTTGGTTTCAGGCTTTCAACAGCGATATTGATATAGACCCAACGTCTGAAGCGGCCCGACGCACCGTTCCACACCTCGCTCTTCCACACTCGCTTTCCCCCGCACCCCCGCTCCTCTGCACACGCTCTCCCCCGCTCCGCCTGCTCGCTCTCCGTGCCGTCCCCGGGACAGGGACGCCGCGCCCACACACGCGAGCTCGCAGCGCGCCCTGGCCGCCTGTGCTCCCACCCTCCCTTCTGCGCGACCTCCATGCCCACCCGTGCTCCCAGCGACCTCGCTCCCATCGGAGACGAGGACGACCGCGGCGGCTCAGACGAGGTAAGGTCGGTCCTTCTCTGGATCTGAGCCCTCCCCCCCTCCTCCTCCTCCCCTCGGATCTAAGCCCTCCTTCTCCTCCTCCCCTTCCTCCTCCACTGGATCTGAGGGACGCGGTGACGGCTAGGGTTCGGACAAGCTCTGTTGCAGTAGCCTTGTTTTGTTGTTGCAACAAGTAATATTTTTTTGCTGCATTAGTCTTTTTTGTTTCTGATGTTGTATCTCATATTGCAGTAGGCTTGTTCTGATGCTGCAACAAGTAATATTTCTTTGTTGTATTAGTCTTTTTTCTGATGTTGCTTTTCTCGCATTGCGCTTTGTTCTGTTTGTTGCAGTAGCCTTGTTCTAATGTTGCAACAAGTAATATTTCTTTGTTGCATTAGTCTCTTTTTTTATCTTGCATCTCGAATTGAATTGCAGTAGCTTTGTTCTATTATTGCAGTCGCCTTGTTTTAATGTTGCAGTAACTTGTTTTGATGTTGCAGACAAGTAATACTTATGATAGGAGCGCGGTGAGGATGCGACGCACCTAGCGGGGCGCGGCGAGGGGATGGGTAGCGCGACGGGATGGTGGCGGGACAGGCGGCGTGGCGGGAGGTTGGGCCGCGCGCGAGCATGGGACGGGCCGCTGTGACTGGCGAGTGACGCCCGGTTTGGATTGGTTCGCATTATTGTATCTGAATACGGGCCGCTGTCCACATAAAACCGTTCGTATAATGTTAGGCTTTTGCCGTGTTTTTTTACTTATTATCAGAACTTCCTATGTTTTAAACCATTAAAGAGAGAGTCAAAAATAAATATAACACATCTTTATTTGTGTGCATCTAAAGCACGTGAATTTCATAGGAAACTATTCATTTAATGTCAAGGTTTTATCGTATTTTTCTCAAACCATGGGAACTTCCCACATTTTAAACCGTTAGAAAAATATCTACAAAATAAAGAAAGTATGTATTTGTATTTGTTTGTGTAAATTGGTGGGAAACCATTCATTTAACGTTAGATTAGAGTTTTATCCGACTTTTTCAATGTATGGGAAACTCTCACATTTTAAACTATTGAAGAAACATCTGAGAAAATAAATAAAACATAATTTTTTGTTTGGGTGTATCGTAGAGCAACTTCAGTAGCCCTCAAAATAGGGCCCCTACTTTTTATTTGGGTGCTCTCCCTACTTTTGGGGGGCCTATTTTCTAGACTGTACTCCAGCAGTGGCCCTTAAAATGGAGCCCACAAATTCATTTTAACTGCCAATGACACGTGGGACCTGGTTGTCATAGACTAACTCGGCCAAAACAACTAGATCCGAGGGGAGCACAGCGGCAACAGGGAAGTGGCCTGCGAGTCTGTGCGCCGTCGCAGTTCGGTCACGGGGAGTAGAGGCCGCTCGCCGCGCGCGCAACCCGGAGTGGAGGTCCAGCGACCTCGCGACTAGATCCGGCGCGGGGAAGTGGAGGCCGGTGAGAAGGGAAGGAAGCAGGGAGCAGCGGCGCCAACTGGTGAGAAGGCGAGGGAGGAGGGCAGCGCGCCGGTGAGAAGGGGAGGGGGTGCTCGTCGGAGCAAGGGAGGAGCCGCCGCTCGGTTGCCGGGGGAGGGCGACTGCGCGTTCCATACAGGCACGGGGAGAATTAAAGGATGGGGGCCGGTGTGTTGGGGCAACCAGAATGGGGTCTGGAGGGAGGATTTTGGTGCCCCAACAAATTTGGGATCCTAGTAGGGGCCTTGCTGGAGTTGAATTTTTGACCTGAGCCTCCATATTTAGCTATTGAGGCTCAAGTAGGGGCCCTGCTGGAGTTGCTCTTAAAGCACAAGAATTTCGCGGGAAACAATTCATTTAATATTAAGATTCTTTTGTGTTTTTCGATTTGAAGGAACTTCTCGTGCTTTTAAGCTGATATTAAAATTGCTAAAAAAGAGCAAAGAGAACATGTCTTTTTTGTTTGTATGTTAGGGTTCTTTTGTCGTTTTCGATTTGTAGGAGCTTCCCGCGCTTTTAAGCCGATCTTGAAATTGCTAAAAAGAGTAAAGAGAACTTGCCTTTTTTGTTTGTATGTTAGGGTTCTTTTGTGGGTTTCGATTTGTAGGAACTCCCCGTGCTTTTAAGCCGATATTGAAATTGCTAAAAAGAGCAAAGAGAACATGCCCTTTTTGTTTGTATGTTAGGGTTCTTTTCTGATTTTTTATTTGTCGAAGCTTCCCGCGCTTTTATGCTGATATTGAAATTGCTAAGAAGATCAAAGAGGACATGTCCTTTTTATTTGTATGTTACTGTTCTTTTGTGGTTTTCAATTTGTAGGAACTTCCTGCGCTTTTAAGCCAATATTGAAATTGCTAAAAAGGGCAAGGACAACATGTTTTTTTGTTTGTATGTTAGGATTCTTTTGTGGTTTTCTGTTTGTAGGAACTCCGCGCGCTTTTAAACAGCTATTGCAATAGCTTACAAAGAACAAAGAGAACATGTCTCTTGTTTGTGCAAACCACGGACAAACATGATCTCCAACATCTAATGAACTAAACTGTAACTACTTTAATCCACAATCATATCAAAATAAAATATACTAGGATGGTTCTAAATCTTTTGCTATGTCTCTATGATATGATCGCTATACCAAGCCGCAAGATCTAAGCTTTACATATGACCACGAAGCACCGGAGAAGAGCACTCGGGTTGAGCAGGTACAGCTCCTCGATGCTCGAATCGTCGCCGACCTGGCCGGCCACCGAGTCGAACCCCGGCTGCACGGCGACGTCCTGCCTCAGCTTCTCCAGCGGGCGGTGGATCCTCCCCGCGACCACCCTGCACACGAACAACCTGTGCTTCACGCCGCCGTCCGGCCCTCCCTCGCCAGTGCCAGCGCCGGCGGCGCCGGTCTCCTGCAGGCAATCCAGCGCGTGCTTGCTCGTGGACGTGGTGAACACGCCGACGCCGCCGTTCCTGGAGAAGCCATGGCGGATGATGCGGCAGACGTTGCACAGGCTCGACGTGCACACGCTGTGGGAGCAGGAGACGGTGGTGCCGTGGAACTGGAGCAGCTCGTTGCCGTCGGCGACGCAGCGGGGGTGCTTGTTGTTGTTGGGAAGCCTCGCCGCCCTGCCCTTCACCTCCTCCATGTACTCCTTGAACCGGTCCACCCGCCTCTCCATGCTGTGGACCTTGACGACTCGCTCGATGCGGTCCAGCGCGGCCTCGGGATTCGGCCACCCGACACTGTATATGAGCTCCACCACCTTGCTCGCCGTCTCGCCGTCCGCCACCTCGGTGACTGCACGCGAGAGAACCGGAGCCATCATCAGACATGAAATGCAGCACGATGACTCTGAATTTCTTCCTGATCAGAGAAGTATGGATGATGGTGGCGGTTACCGGCGTGGTAGACGAGGTGATGCGATTCCAGGGCGCTGTCGTTGGGGAAGAGGCCGCCGCAGCGGTTGCACCGGACGGCAACCTCGCCGCAGGATGCCCAGGCGGGAAGGAGCGACCCGGCGTCGCCGAAGGCGCCGGCGCCGAGGCGGAGCGGTGACTTCCTCTGGGAGAGACGTGCGCCGCTGGTGGCAGACCGCATCAGGAGCGGGCTGTGCGCGAACGGCGGCATCGCGCCGATATCCCAGGCGGCGAGCCCCGGGGCGGCGCCGACCTGGAGGTCGCGCCCGGACCCGGTGGCGAGCAGCACGTCGTGCGTCACCGCATTGAGCACGTCGCCGCTCTCCACCGACATCGGGCTGTCGCACTTGCCGCGCACGGCCGCCGGTGGCGCCTGGAACCTGGCGCTGTGGATCACGTCCAGCAGGGTGGACATGGAGCGCGAGCACCCCGACCTCGGCAGCGACGACGACGGCTGCAGCAGGAACGACGGCTTCTTGTGGTTGAATTCCCTGGCGCTGCCGCCGCGCGAGTCGTCGTCGCGCCTGATCACGTCGCAGGAGCCCTGGGACTTGCAGCTCAGGGACCTCTTGAGCGCCGTCCACCACAGAATGGCCATCTCCTTCGATCGATCTCCTCCGCCTACAAGATCCGGGAACACCGTACCTTCACCTCGGTGGATGGCCGGATTGCTGCTGCTGCTGAGAGGCATCGCTATTTATCAGCCAAAACACATAGGATGCATTCAACGCGAGATTGCAATCAAATCTGAGCACAATAAATGGTCTCAAATGAATTTGCCAAAGATTCACCAAAGTTCATGAGACGAGATCGAACAGCCTGAGGAGGCCAACCATGGAAGGGAGTGGGCGTCGCAGTGGCTGCACCACCACCACCGGCACATGCAGCCAGCGGCAATGGTAACTGACATGAGTAAACAAGTGAGGAGGAGGGGAGCGCCGCCGCCGCTGGAATTTTCCCTCCGTGACGATCATGGAGCGTGCGCCCCTGCCACAGGGCCGCAGGCTGCAGCCAGCGTGCTCTCCCCAGGGACCAGAAGGCACAGAACTACAGAAGCGGCCGAACAGGTCGCCGCCAAACGGGCTGCGGAGTCCATACAATGCACAGAGCCACGGAGGTTAGTTGTCTTTGAAAAGAAATTGAAAAAAAAAACACTGGTCAGTCCAGCAACGGTTGCTCTATCTGACTAGAAGTAAAAATAATAATAAAAAAAAAAGAGTGGACTGCGGCCTAAGAATTCAGAAATGTGAGTTACTGTATCAGCAAGAAGATGGACCTGGATCCAGTGCAGTTGCTATAGCAACTGTAACTTTAGCAATCCCACCATCCTGATCGTCCATAGCGAATCGTAGGGCAAAGCATGGATGGTTTCATCCTATCCACTTTACTAGTCTCGATGCCTATCTTCTCTACTATTTTGGAGGGAAAATCAGAAGTTTGGCGTCATTTTTTCTGTTTGCTCGGAACGGAGCCGAGGCGATCACGAGGGAGGCCAGAGAGGGGCCTCGCCATGGAACCTCCGGGGCCCGCCTCCGCCATGGGTGCGCCCTGTCGGACCTGCCTTGCCTTCTCCTCCGTCTCTTGTCCCAGCGCCTGCCCCCGCGAAGCATGAAGGCTTCGTCGCGGCTGCTGGAGCTGCTGTCCTCCCGCGCTCTCATTCCGTCGGTCGTGGAGGCACCAAGGTGTCCGCGCCGGCGCCAAAGAAGACAGGCGCGATGAAGAAAGCCAGTGATGTTCAGCCTCCCCAAGCTCCTCTACGATCTGCAGCAGCACCGAGGACGCTGACGAGTGCTGAAGAAGCCATAGATGCCGTTGCAATGGATGACGTCCAGCAGCTGCTCGAGGAATTGCCTACAAGGTTTGTGCTCGTCTTGTTGTTAGCCTTGTTAGTTATTAGCTTCTGCATAGTTGAAGTTCTACTGCAAATGAGCAAATGTTGTTGGTCATGTTCTGAATGCATTATTTATAACTGCAGAGTTGCTGCAATTCCTTTTTGGATCCCACAAATTGGTATGACATTTAGCAGTTTCGATGAAGCTTGGGACTTTTGGGTTACATATGGTGGCCGGATTGGTTTTGATATTCGAAAGTGTTACACAAACACAAGTACTCTTGATGGATTGGTAACATCGAGTAGGTTCGTTTGTTCAAATGAGGGTTCTCGGCCGAAAATAAAAAGTTCTGTGTCAGCAAGCGTAATCGAGCTCATACTAGAATAGTCTATAGAGTTCGCATGGGCATTACTTATGAAAGAGAAAATAGGACTTATAAGGTACATGACTTGTTTATTGAGCACAACCACATTCTCCAAACTGCTCATACTAGTCATTTGATGCCGTCACATAGAAACATTGACTTCTATTGGGTGATACAAGTTTTTGTATATGAAATGGGAAAGAGAACCTTCTTATGTGCAAAAGGTTCCCCATTAATCATACTCTCTTTTGTGGATGCAAGGCTGCTGATGGTTGATGCAAGCTTTTGTATATGAAATTTGAAATAGAGAACCTTGGTATATAGAAAAGGATCTCAGTTTAGCATGTCTTTTGTATATGCAAGCTTTTGTATTAAGCTATCAAATTACAGCAAACACATGCAGCTTTGTTCTATTTAATTGGATTATAAGATGTATGCATTCTCTTCTCTGCTCTTTATAATTTCTTCTAAAAGAAACAGAGTCTAACAGCAGGACAGCCATGGGGAGGGAAGGAGAAGAAACTATGGCTTTGATCATAGCCATCCGTGGCTTTTTGAATGGATCAGATGCAGCTACTGCATATCTTGCAGTAGCAGTTGTAACTGCACTGGATCCAGGTCCCAAGAAGATATCCTGCGTTATTCTCAAAAAAAAAAAAAGATATCCTGCGCTGTCGCTTTGTCAGTCAACGACCTAAGCGTATCCTACGATACCGTTGAAGGACAGGAATGAGTGACGTGATGCTTCCGCTGTGCTCTCCAGTCTCCACCAAACTTATCGTGGTTTTTCTTTCTTTTTTTTGATAAAAAACTATTGTGGCTCATGCTTCCTTATTGGCACTTGACTATAAAGATAACTTGTAATCTTTTATTGTTATTTAGATATTATATGTATAATTTTGTAATTGTTTGACTATAGAGAAAATCTAAATTATTTCTGGTTATATAAGATTGTTGCCTAAAAATTCATATACGTGAAATATGGCAACTCTTGTTATTATAGCTATATACACTTCTTAGCTCTGTTTTGCTGCACTACTTCAGCAGTACTTTTCAGCGAACGAACAGTGTTTTCCCCTCACAATAAATTCAGCATAAGCCAAATTTTAGCGAAACGAACAGGGCCAAGGCAAATTTGGGGTGAAAAATAAATGCAGTGACAACCAATAGCATGTTAAGTTTGCAATGAACACAAACCATACCAAAATTGGTAACCCTAACAAAAGTTAGTCCCTATCGTCTGTTCAGTAATGTCATAATGGAAGTCGGTTCATACGCTGTTCATTTTCAACATACAACATAATGAAGGCGGTTTCTATTTTTTGTCTACTTCTAATATATATTTCGCGACAAAAAGTTCGCTTTGGTTGTCGGTTCAATATGTCATAACAACAGTAACATCGTAACGGAAGTTGGTTCATATGTTGTTCATTTTCAACATATGTCGTAATGGACTGTTTCTATTTTTGTCTACTTCTGATATGTATTTTAGGACAAAAGTTCGCTTTGGTTGTCGGTTTCAATATATGTCATGACAAAAGCAATTTTCTATGTTGTTTCTTTTCAACATTTGCAACGGAAGTCGGTTCCCGTTATTGTTTTTTGATATTTTTTCATAATGAAAACCGGTTCCTATTTTACATATTTATAATATCTATCATAACGGGATTTGATGTAAGTTCTAACAGTTGCCTATTTTTTATTTGTAATGGAAGCTGGTTCCTATTTTTGTCAATTAGTCGCTTTGAATATCCGCTTCCTTTATTTTTCTCCTGTGTTCTCTCTTCTCTGGTAAGCCTTGGGTTGCTTTTTTGTACTTGTGCTTGCTACCCTCTTAATGAAAACATGTTTACGCATGGCTGCGAAAAAAGAATATATGACACAAGCCATGTTAGATGAATCTAATGGCGCAAGCAAACAACTAGAGTATTATTAGACTCCTCATGTCTCCTCTAGGGGTTTGTAGCTTCCTCACCATGTGCCACTCTGTTTCTATACAAGTTGACGTCGAGGGACTAGTATCCATTGCTTAATGATGTGCTAGCACCCGGGGACACCTTTATTACCAATAATCAACATAAAAGCAGTCACATTAACTCTTGCATCCAATAGGATTGTTTTTTTTTTAATAAAAAGCCCTTTGATACAACCTACTATCATCGAGATCATGAGGCGATAAGGTATTTCTGAAATCTGAATCTTTTGATGCCAAACACTCAAGATGTTGCAATAGCAACAAACAAATAAGAAATATAATTGAGTATTTTCTAGATGACAAAGAAAGTCCAGTTAAATAACCTGCCCAAACCTACCCATGGGCAAATGTTCGACCTATTTTTTGGGCTAGGGCAACCACTCATTTTTGTATTAAAAAATAATCGGGATAATAGTTTTAGGACCGACTGATTTCTTTTGGGCTTCCTTATCTTTATCCAAGCTAGGTCTATTGAAACCAGGGGCTTGAGGTGGGCCAAACTTGTTTAAGGGTTTGTTTGGTTGCACTCTAATTTATATGTACGTATTAGGGTGGATTAGAGTAAAACTAATGCTTGGCTAGACTTTAATCTACTCCAATCCCACATGTATTGGATTGAATTAGGATGAAAAAATAATTAGTTTTTCACTTAATCTACCATAATACATATAGATTAAGGTTGATTAGAATGTTGCCAATCGAAAAAGATGAATTCCTTTTCCATTTCAGCAAAGAAAGAATCATCTTAAAAATTCTTTTGAGTCCTAACCCCTTTGTAGGTAATTAGTAAGTGAACCCACCCAAAGAGAGCCCCCTTGAGTCAAGACCTAAGGGATTGTTTAGGACCGCTCCATAAATACTGCTCCACAAGCTCTACCATGAATCAACTCTATAGACAAAACTAGAAAAAAAATCCTTTAGGTACTCACAACTCCATATTTTTTTTCTAGAACTGTGTTTGCGAGGCTACACCTATTTTTTACTTAAAAAACATTGAGCGGTCCCAGACAGACACTAGCTCTGTTACAGGACCCGAGAGTGAAATTTCACTCAATTTCAATCATCCATCGTTGGACATACAAACGGAGCAGGGACTCATGTCATGTGCCCGTGATCCGTGAACACTAACCCTATATAATGGGCCGGGTGCCGGGTGTCGGGTTGTAGGCTCTTTTCTACAGCCTGTTCGGTTGGCTGGTTCGTTTCGTTGCTGATTCGTGAAAAAGTACTACTGGCTAATGTGTGTGAGAGAAAAATAATGTTCCGACTAAAAATTTACGATCATTTACGACACACCACGGCCACACGAACAGGCTGCTAGCAGGGAAGCACCTAGAAACCAAACCAGAGCCACGAAACAGGACTGTGATAACGGTCTATGCCCAAAAAAAGTCCGGTTCAGACTGGATAAAAGGAGTCGAGACGCAGACACCTGTTTGGTCTCGGCGGTCCCCACGACACGTCATCTCCGTGGCCCAGCGCTCGTTTCCAGAAGCAGCCGCGAGCTTCCACCGTCTTCTTCCCGTGCTTTTTCTCGAGCGATTCGTTTGGTCCGACCACCACAGCGAGAGAGAGAGAGCACGCGCAACTGAGCAAGAGAGTGGACGGCGACGATGAGGGGGTGGCGTGAGGAGGTGGAGGTGGTCGCTCTGTCGCTGCGGGGCTACGGCAACGAGGAGGATGACCGGCCGGAGAAGCCGCGGCGGTACGGGGTGACGGAGATGCGGAGCCCCTTCTACTCCTTCCGCCCCGCAAACCAGGCGCTCCAGGTTCGCCGCCGGCTCACAGCTGCCAGCCTGCCACCCCTGTTTTGGGCGCTTCGTGTGCTCTGCTCTGATTCGTTTGGTGTTTTGTTGTGCCGAGCTCGATGCCTGGATTGGGCGTATTCTAATTGGGAGTGCGATTCAGTTTCCCTGGAATGCGAATACGGGTTGAAGCCGCGTTTGATGATTAATTAGTCTCCATAATAGATTCGTACATCGTACTAGTGCTTAGATTGAGACCATATGAGTAGTTTCAGAATGTCATCGTCGTGGGCGTTGCCAAATTTTTCGAACCGAATTAGCCGATTCATGCTAATTGTACTGGTGTTTTTATATTATTATATCCAGCATCTAGGTTTCTGTTATGTGATGGAGGCACAATAAAGTGTAGATGACTCCCTTGTATTTTGATTTTAGCAAGGAATAACTAGTCCCCAGCTGTTCTTTTAAGTCTGAAAAGTCCTGGTTGGTTTTGGTAATTGAGTGACAACCTAGGTGGACTAATTGTGTTTATGTGAGATACACAGGTGATTAGTCCACAGGTACATGTGTATGAGCAACATATGCCATGGAGGTGAAAATGGCTTGGAGATGTTGCAAAGCTCACACATGTGATGATGAAGGAGCTTATTGCACATGAGACATGACATTGAGTCATGTGATCAAGGTGGAGAAGATCAAGACAAGACTTGGCTTGATGGACCGGTTGCAAGCGTGAAGGGCAAGTCAAAGGCTTTGGAGTGATGGACCGCGTGGCGGTGAATGTAACACCTCGGGTGTTAGCTTTGCATAACTTGACTTGCATAACATGAGCATGAGCATCAAGCATTCATAAATCATCATTTCAATTGAAACATTCGATCGAAACATATGAAACATTGCTTGTTATCTCGTATTTCTTGGAACATATACATATGATCATGAGTGACTAATACATGTAATGATTGTGTGACCTTGTGAATTGCTTAAACATGTTTAGAGTATCCTTATAAACAACTTTGATATTCATGGCTAGGGCTAATTAGGTCATTAGGTCATAGCCCAAGTGGGTACCATCTGTTAAAAGTGACATGTTTGACCAAGTTCGAAATAGGTGCTAGAGACTATGCATGTATGTGGGTACTAAAGCAAAGTTGTAGTATGTGTCATGGAGAACAACTTTCTTTTTGGGTCATGAACTAATAATGTGCATAGCCTAGTCCTTTTAGCTCACAAAAATCGGAAAAACAACCTTTTCAACACTTCACGAAAATTTTTCTAAGTCTTGATCATTGACAGTCTTTGTCACCTGACTTTGGATTGGATTTTCCTCCCTAGGTTACTGAATTCGAGCTTGATCTTTGAATAAGAGTTGTAGCTGGTACCTTGGGCTCTGAAACTCATGTTGGGCATTTGCACGAAGGAGCCACGGATCAGTGGATTTATCGACTTGGAAACGCAGCTATCGCCTCTCTCCGATCGCTGCGTCTGAATCGATCAATCGATCGGCGATGGCCGACCAACTTGAGCGCGAAACCAGCGTGGAGGTTCCGTCGGCCGCCAGCGTCGCCGTTGCTCGACCACAAGAGAACCACCCACGCGCCCGGCGCGCCTTCATCACGCCAACGCCTCGCCAGCCGCTCTCACCACGCCCTTTTCACTTCACCTCGGTCTCCTTCGCCGTCCGCGCGCCCCGCAAGCATAACCGTCGAACTCCCTGCAGCGCCACCGTAGTCGTTAGGACGGCACAAGCCTCGCCTAGCCGCTTCTCCATCACCGCAAACCGCAAGCCAGCCGTCTTCCCGCGACTCCTGCGCCCACCAATTGCCGCCGTTTAAGCTCGGATCGGAGGAAGAGATCACGTTCTTTGGAATTGAAGAAGCGGAGAGGAAGGAACCCAGGGGAGGATCCATAAGCCGTAGCTCCGGCGTGGGCGAGAGCCACAAGAGCTTCCGGTGCCACGACCATCGCCCTACTTCCTTTCTGCGAGGCAAGCCCCTGAGCATTATAAGTCTCCCGATAATTTACAAATGTTTAATTTAGTACTTATGATTGATGCATTAGGTTATAAGAGTTGAATGAAACCACTTGATGCATGTACATTCCTTGTCCGGATATTACACCTTTAACCGTATAGGTCCAGGATCGAATATATGCTTAGCCATGCTTAGACCGGTAGAAGTCGGGTGATTTCTGTCACTGCGAGATATAGGTGGATACCGAGCACGATTGGTCATAATTGTCATTGTGGAAAAGAACCATGGTTAATGTAAATGGAGACCGGGGCGGGATGTCGATAGAGAAACAACAAGGCATGGAGGTCTTGGGTGTGGATCTATCCCGTCTGCGGTCGATCAAGGACCGCACTGTTGTTGGAACTTGACAAGATTGAGCGCATGCCTCTCACTTAGCTGGCCGGATAATTCGTTCCGACCGCTGAAGCCGAGTAATTCAACTCGGTAGCCGGAATCGTTACATTGTCGCCCCTTCGGAACGATCGACCGAGCCCAAGGGCGAGCTTGGCACGAGCATCCCGGCATCTGGTGTTCCAGTTAATGCGGTGCGATCTGGACCCATGAAATGTGTACTACGAGTTGTACCAAAGGTGACCTAAGGTGACCGTTGATCCGTGCTGCACTGGTTTGTGTTAGGAATAAATTCCCAGCCTGGTTGAAATCGATTCGAATCGCCGTCTCTCCCGGATAGTGAGAAACTTGGCTAGCTCCAACATCGTAGTAATCTGTATTATGGAACATGATGGTTCGGATGAAAATGGAATTGCAATACACTGCTATGGTTACTATTGTATGCTTCTAAATGATACCACATGTTGGGCACAGGATAGTTGCTAATCTAGAAATGGATAGTTATAATTAACTTGATAAAGGAATCATAATTGTACAACGGATCAATTGCCTTTTTTCGCAAAATGTTGTCAAATTACGTCCCACTTATACACCTTGCATACTCCTTGGAGTCATTTTATTTCGGTTCATGACGGGGTAAGTCTAGTGAGTACCTTCTCGTACTCGGGGTTTATTTTCCCAATGTTGCGGATGGCACTTTGTGTATCATGGTTATTGCAAGAGTTGCTTCTATCCCATTGTGGATGAGGAGTAAGCCTTGGGCGCAGCTTCCTTAGTAATTCCTATCCTTGCTTTTGTGGATCGTGATCCGGCATGGCAATCGTATCAAACTATGTTGGCAACTTTATTTTCGAACTTATTTGCTTCCGCTTTATTTATCAAACTCGTTTTGTAATAACTTTTATTCGCACTCGATGATGAAAAGTATCTGTGAACTTTATGTAATATGTGGCATGTATGTTGAATCCTGTACGATCTTGGTTGTTGTAAATCGTTTATTGAGACCCGTCGTGGTACTCGACGGACTACCGGGTTTATATGGGTTCAAGTATGACAGTGCGACCACTTGCGGATTGCCATTGTACTTGTATTCTTATAAATTGGTCGGTTCTGCGACATACCGGCATCGAGCAAGATTCAACATTAATTGTCACAAGTGTATTTAAAACAAAAGTTTTTGTTTTCCGAAAACCCTTTTCTAGCAACTAATAGTTATATAATAGGTATTTGAAATCTAAAGTGTGCCAATGATCACTTTCCTTATGCCCAAATTAAGGACTATTAGGTGGCTATTTAAGTACTAACATGGGGTTTTACTTAAGTCGTCCATACGGCGTGCTATTGTATGGATGCCATTCACTTGAATGGTAATGTATGGATCAAATGCCTCTCGCCAAGGTAAGATGAGTGTATGACCGCAAGATGTGAGCATGCGGTCGGGAAGAGTAGCTTTAAATGCGGCTATGTATGCATGCTTGCATGTGTATATGGTACGTATTTAATTGTGGGTTTAAATTCTTGTCGGGTAGATTGATACGGAAGTATATGTATGGGTATACATATATGGAAGTATTTACAATTACATTCTGCATATTCATTATGGGTTTAGGGCTGAAATGAGATCTTATGCGGGGTACACTAACAAATAAACGTGTAGCTCGACTAGTTACGCTATTTATGAGAGAACGATGTATGCCACCGTGTCTCACCGCTAGAAACAAAGTTTTTCCTAAGTTTGTGAGGATGTACGAACGAGCATGCATCATGATAATTACCATTCACATAATTACATTGTTCCTCCCCTTATAAAATTCTTACTCGGTTATGTAACTCTTATCCATTATGGCATTGTCTCACCAAGGGGTACATGTTAATGGTGCAGATGGCACGCACAAAGAGACCGCTCGCAAGTCCACCGGAGGCAGAGCTCCCCGCCGTCGGCTTGCTCCACGTACCCGTCAACGTCACACGTTCCTTGGAGAGTTTGGGATGCCTACACTCTTGTGGAGAGTACTTAGTTATGTAGGCTATCCTGATGGAATGGAACCCCGCTACTTACAGGCGAATGAGCGGTTGGGAGAAGGTCTCTTAGTTAATTCTTTGTGGAGGCCGTTGTTCGTCCCCGAGTGACGATTCTCGAGTGGACAGTGGTGTTATGAGTCAACTGGTAGGATCTGAAGAAAGCAGACTAGCGAGGCAGCCTTTGGGATCTGAGAGACATCATGGGCGTTTTCCTCGGGGAGCTGGCAGCCGCTTTGGTTGGAGTCTTTCAAGAGGTAACCCCTCCACCGACTCATGGCGGCGAGACAAGAGGAAAATCTTTGGAGATTGGTGCGGCGAAAAGGCAAAACAGTTGATAACCCTTCCATGAGCGCCATGTTACGCAATGATGAGAGTGTTGGATGGAGTTGAAGGTAGCCTTCGGGCGTGTGTCCGGTGCTCTTGGTCATGCCATGAGGACCGGCGTCGACCTTCGAGAGGGAGCACGACGCCGAGATTGAAAGGCTCACTCAAGAGATGACTCGGTTAACTCATCGTGAAATGCAGCTTGGACAAGGAAAATGTCCTAAGAGCTCGCCAGATTTGAGCTAGGACAAAGATTGGCTAATGCGGAAGAGTACAACGATAATCTACATGAAGAGGTTCATCTTTTGAACAATCAGCTCCACCCTTATGTTCCACCTGGAGCCGCAGAAATGGATCTAGAAGGATACGAAGAAGAAGAAGTGGAGCCTGAAGAAGAAGTAGGACCTGAGGAAGGAGATGATCTTGCGTCTGACCTCGATAGTGACCATGATGAGGATTAGATCGCTTAGCACTTAGTGGAAGGACTAATGTATCACTGTATTC